AGCACAGGGTTGCTGATTGCCAAGAACATTTTGGGTGATTAGTTTGCAGAATTGGTGGAGTTACAGCTGGATAACAAAATAGGTTTATAATACCTACCATCATTTTTCATGGAGTGTATCCATGGCCACATGACAATGACTTTACATTGCCCCTTAAACCCCATAGTACCTGTCACAAATACTGTAAATCCTTCCTTTTTATGCCCAGCATCATTTTTGTAACTATTGTCTGGTCATAACAGGGTAGGGGTAATATTCTGCCATGCTTACACATCAAAAAAGAGAAATGATGGTAGGTTTGAAATTATTTTCCATTTCCTAGTGAGCAGTGAGACGTTGAAAATAACTAGACAAATCAAAGAGGGATAAATGGGAAAATGTTCATTCGGCATAGAAGCAGACCCAATCTTCCTCCCAAAGTCACCCATAGTACAGTGTACAAACCAAGCCTTTAACCCTACAAGCTGCTAGAATGGCTTTCATGATCCAGGAAGCATGAATTTGGAAGAAGGTGCAAGTGACCAATCCTGTACAGACAAACTGATGATTTGTACATCTCCAGGTTTATGCAGTTTGGATATAGATCCTTGAGGCTTGGGACACATCAACAGTATCTAGACTTCCTGAAGAGATGTAGTTGAAGGCAGTCTCAGGAGAGAGCCGCTTTAGTTACATCCTAGGGATTTGGATGAAGCACAGTGTGGTCTTGGAAGAAAGTTAGGAAAAGGTCCCATCCAACCTAAAATGGAAAATTCTGAAGCTGAATCTTTAAGCCCAATGTAATGGCTGTGAGCAAGATTGTTTTCAAAGTAGGGTTGCATGGGTATAGCTGATACTAAGCATTTGCATGAGTACTTGTCTTAGTGCAAATGCTCGGACAAAAACTGATACCTTTGCGGTGCGATTTGAGCCCATACACTGAACTACTGCCTTTAATTCTGTCTTTTCGCTCACAGTATTGAAGCAAGGTGGTCATCATAGCAGCAAGACAGCTAGTTTTTGCAAAGTGGGAAATAGCAATGGAAGCATCCATGTTTTTTCTAGGAATAGTGTTCTTTTAGGTAAACTTTCCTTTCAGGTCCTATAGTCAGTCTTTCACAGCCTGCAAAGGCGGATTGGCCAAAAACTGCAGAACCAAAGAAGGTGTCATTTTTGGTGGATACTTTAGCCCAAGGGGGAAATGTTTAAGAAGCTCAATAGGCTACAAGAGAGGACACTTGTTTCTTAAGACAATTTAGACTCAAACCCTTATCTAAGCTGAACTGTAGGAAAGTCGAGATCTGAGTAACCAAAGGAATTCAAAAGTTTGTGCCCTTACAAAGTCTAAGAATCTGTTCCAAATTCTGTGATATTTTACATTGATGTAATGTTCTAGCATTTAAAAGGGTGTGTTATTACCAGAAGAATATCTTGTCCACCTAGAGCCTCTTCTTTCAATTTACGAGCCATTAAGTTTTTAGTTGAGCTGAACAGGGACAGCAATCTTGCATTAGCCAAGTGTTCTGAAAATATCACTGTAGCACATTCCCAATGTACCTTTTTGAGTAAGCAGAAAATCATGAAATCTTGAGTATTGGGAAGAGTGTCCTTTAAAATATAACAAAACTTGCAATGGGAACACTTGTTCTGGTGACCTGGAGGGTCCCAAGGGATTCCCCTAATTTGCAGGGATTTCCTCTCACTTCCTGTTGGCTGTGGGACAGGAAGTGAAGGTTAATCTCCCCGATGGGCAAAGATGGAAAAACTGACAGGGATCATAACCCTCCTCCATAACCCCTACTTTATTCAAAATGTAAAAATGTTTTACCGATAGTTCTGCTTTAACCACCTCTTGCCCAGTCAATGCACAGATGTGGCTGGCAGGAACACCAGGGATTTTACACAAAGGAAGCAATACAAAGAGAACAGGATACTTTTTCATACAAGTAAATGGTACAGCAGGCACATTTCAGGAATATGAAATTTTGGGTTCACATATTTTTTTAAAGTGATCGTGAAGTCTTAAGTTGTATCTTTTTTTTTTTTTTTTTTTTTTTTTTTTAAGTATAAACAAACAGGTTTATACTTACCTGCACAGAGCCTCCCCGAGCCTCCTCTTCTCGGGGTTCCCTGCATGAAGCTGCTTCCTATTGTGGCACACCTGCGTGCTTGATCTCAAGCTGCACTGCCTGTGCACATTGACACAGATAGCCAGGCTTTGCCCCACCCTGTCCCCTGCTCCCTTGTCACAAGATTTGATCAAGCAGCGAGAACCAATGGCTTCCGCTGCTCTCAGCAAAGCCTGTGAGAGTGGCTGCCAGCACTGATTGGAATCCCATTCAACAGAAGCCACCTATTTGGCTGGCTTCTGTCGGAAAGGTGGATGTACACATGGGCCAAATGTTGGCCGGTTCATTAGTAACTTGATATTTGGCCCATGTGTATGGGGCTTTTACACTGGTGGTCAGAATTACTCCCTGAGAGATGGCTATACTGTAAATATTGGTGTTGCTGGCTCTGCCAAGTGTTTTTGAACAAAGATCTAGGCAGGCACCATCAAATAGGTGGAAAATCAGCCATAGCTCAAGACCTAGCAACCTCTGGAGGAACCCTGGCTGAGAATGGTTATACTAGAGCAGTGATGGCGAACCTTTTGGAGACCGAGTGTCCAAACTGCAACCCAACCAGTACACGGGGGCAAGGTTCCACTGACCACCAGCACGCGGGGGGGCAAGGTTCCACTGACCACCAGCACACGGGGGCAAGGTTCCACTGACCACCAGCACGCGGGGGCAAGGTTCCACTGACCACCAGCACGCGGGGGCAAGGTTCCACTGACCACCAGCACGCGGGGGCAAGGTTCCACTGACCACCAGCACGCGGGGGCAAGGTTCCACTGACCACCAGCACGCGGGGGCAAGGTTCCACTGACCACCAGCACGCGGGGGCAAGGTTCCACTGACCACCAGCACGCGGGGGCAAGGTTCCACTGACCACCAGCACGCGGGGGCAAGGTTCCACTGACCACCAGCACGCGGGGGCAAGGTTCCACTGACCACCAGCACGCGGGGGCAAGGTTCCACTGACCACCAGCACGCGGGGGCAAGGTTCCACTGACCACCAGCACGCGGGGGCAAGGTTCCACTGACCACCAGCACGCGGGGGCAAGGCTCCACTGACCACCAGCACGCGGGGGCAAGGTTCCACTGACCACCAGCACGCGGGGGCAAGGCTCCACTGACCACCAGCACGCGGGGGCAAGGCTCCACTGACCACCAGCACGGGGGGCAAGGCTCCACTGACCACCAGCACGCGGGGGCAAGGCTCCACTGACCACCAGCACGCGGGGGGCAAGGCTCCACTGACCACCAGCACGCGGGGGCAAGGCTCCACTGACCACCAGCACGCGGGGGCAAGGCTCCACTGACCACCAGCACGCGGGGGCAAGGCTCCACTGACCACCAGCACGCGGGGGCAAGGCTCCACTGACCACCAGCACACGGGGGCAAGGCTCCACTGACCACCAGCACAAGCTAAAATATTGTGTTAATTAAAACGAATGTATTAAAACTCACAGCCAGTCATATATATATATATTATCTTTGGCAGTGCACTGACTGGGTATGTGAAATGAGTCGCTGCTCGTGACGTCATTGCCAGGCACCGCTACTCATTTCTGAGCATGCGCATGGCCGCTATGTGCACTATTATCCGATGCTTGGCTGCTGGAGCGATGCTGGGGCAACTTGGACCACGTGTTGACAGAGAGGGCTCTGCGTGCCCGCGGTTCGCCACCACTGTACTAAAGTGTGCCTACTACATGGTTTAGAGGAGGTTGTGTGTGGTTTTATTTTTTTTGGTGTTTATACTGTCTTTTGTGTTCTGCCAGACTATATTTGTCATTTACTATTATTACATATTTTCCATTTGTTGACCAGGCTAAGCACACAGAGGAGGTAGAGATGACCCTGCATAACAGGCAGTCCAAAATCCAGGTGCTTGAGGTCCCTTCAGCATACTGGGGGTTAAGCGTCATTAAATCTTAAACTGAAGCGAGAACAGCTTTAAATACGTAGAGGCACTTGTTAAAAGAAAAAAAAATACCCTTTGCGATTTTGTTTTAAAACAGCAGCATGTTTTGCTTATTATACCGTTTGACAGGCTAGAGAAATTTCCCTAACACCATAATCCTCCAGGGCTCAGCAGAATGGAAAATGCAGGCGAGCCTGAGCTTTGCTGTGGAGTTTGAGCCTTGGGTGTAACCTAACTAGCTAGGGGAAGCAGAGCTCCTGATTGACAGCAGGACTAGCATTATGCAAATGCTGCAAGTCTGAACAGAGGCTGATTGGGGCTCCGGCAGGGGCTCTCCTACACACGTCACCCGTTATCATTCAATATAGCCTTTCTTTTTTTTCCCTATAACCTTATATGTACCTTGACCTTTCAGCCCGAGTTAATAAATGCAGAAAGATAAGCATTAGCTCCTTACAAATCGGCAGCAGACATTGCTGTTTGTTTATGTGTCACAAATGGTGTATTTAAAGCAATGTTGATCTCTGCTTATGTTTTAGTCACTCTTTTGTGTATCAGGTTCTTTTTTTTTTTTTCTTTTTCTTTTTCTTGTCTTCACTTAACATTACAATGTGGTTTTGTAATTTATCCTACTGGTATCTTTCAGCATTCTTCACAAGCTATTATGTAGGTCAGGCCTGTCTTAAACAGATTTTCTGAACCTGCGTCAGATTAAGCTGAAGGAATTTTAATAAACCCTCCCTGGTAGGCGTAGGCCTAAGCGAGACTAACCTAGTTAAGCCTGATTTTTTTTTTTTTTTTTTTTTTTCCTTGTGTGTATGTCTGTGGGGGAAAAGAGCTGTGCAGAGCTCAAGGCTGAATTGTGTTTCAGGAACTGTTTGCTAATAAAGGACGGCTTGAACATGGTGGGCAAAGCTCGGTCCTCCAATTTCACAGTATTTGAAAAGCTGGATCTACTGAGGCTGGTGAAGCCATACATAGGAGTCTTAGAGGAACACACCAACAAACATTCTGTAATCATTGAAAAAAACAATTGCTGGGAGATTATCGCAGAAAAGTACAACGCTTTGGGAGGAGGACGTCCGCCGCGCACGGCGCAAGGCCTGCGCACACTTTACAAGCGGCTGAAGGAGTACGGCAAGCAAGAGCTGCTCCAGTGCAAGACGACACAGGCGGACTATCATAGCACGGTGTCCGAAGCCACCAAGAAACTTGTGGAAATTATTCCTCAGTTTGGCAATGTGTGTTTTGGAAGAGATCTCAACGGATTGTCAAGGTAAGACTACCATGTTGTAAACTTTTATGTGGGAATTCTTTTGATAGGGCCTTCAACTAGTGGCCTGATAACCACATGTGGCTCTCAGTTGACCGTCAACACTTGCTCAGTACATTTCTTGCTGAACCTCTTTACAGAGAGAAATATGTAGTCTGCCTTTCCTGACCAGCAGTTGAAAATGCTGATTGCCTGGTTACTTCTAGCTTATTCAGTCACTAGCCTGGAACAAGCATGCAGATCGAAATCAAAACTCCTGATGTTCTACATCAGTTACTCTAATGACTTTGAAGCCAAATGCTTAACATCACAGCCAGGGAGCTAGCATTTTCAGAATGACAGCTTACAGATTTTCCTATAATGACATAGCAAGTATGAAATCTGCTAAAGGTCACCTAATTTTTTTTAATAGTATTAACAAATGTTCTTTTCTATATTTCACACATAAGTGTGATTCTTGAGCTATAAGCGGTTGGGACCCACTTCGTAAGGCATCAGTGATCGTGGTTCTTATAAGCAATAAGAGGTCGGTGATGTACACGGAGATGTAAGCCATGGAAGTTGCAGTCAGTAGTAACAATCGCTAACATTCGGCAAAAGGATGCATTAGATGACATTGTTTACATTCTGTGAAAATGTGTGAATTTCTCTTGTATAACAAAATATAGTAACGGTTAAAAGTAGAGACGGAGAAATACGATAGCTGCCTCGATAATACCATTATGACCTTATACCGTGGCTTTGTGAAACCTCAGATTACTGAAGTCTGTTTTGTTAACTGTTTCAGTGATCATAAAGCCAGAGTGCTGACGGTTTAGGCTTGCCAGGCAGTGATATCTGTCCTCTTCTGCACAGGGCGGCTCATTCTCCAGCCTTTGATGGAGTCCCTGATGAATTAATGATCAGTTACTGTGGATATTTAAATCCCAATATCCTTCAGAATTGCTTCCAGTTATTTCTGTTCTGATTGCGGTTATTGTTCTGTCGTGATTCCGTTACCAATGTTGTTTGCTGTGTGTGTGTGTGTGTATGTATATGTATATATATATATATATATATATATATATATATATATGTGTGTGTGCGTATGTATGTGTGTGTATATGTATGTGTGTGTGTGTGTGTGTGTGTGTGTATGTATATATATATATATATATATATATATATATATATATATATATATATATCCCCATTGTTGGGCTTACTGCCATATGAAACATCAGACCAGTGCCAACAAAAATACATAAGTTGCCATCATTGATCCCCATCTAATATGCTTCTTGCTAGTTCTCTCTACTTTTTAAAAAGTTCTGAGCCATTCCCCCCAGAACAAGCATGCAAATAGAAGTACAGACTTCGTCCTAACTTTACTGGCTACATGCTTGTTCCTGATCATAATTGCAGAAAGGGCTAAAGCTGGAAACAATGGGAATTTTAGCAGTTTATCAGGACAGGCTCACTTCTTTATAATAACATACCTGCTAAGGCTAGGTTCACATATGTGCGGGTGGTGCCACTGTGGATCCGCACAAACGTCCATGGAGCTGCACCACCCACACAGAAGAATGCTGACCCGCGGGTGGGTACCATTTTAATGGCACACCGCCCGCACTGGAAATTGCAACCATACTGGGAACTGAGGTTCCCGTGTGGGCTGCGGTTTCCAAAGAAGTGGAGGGACGTCTTCCCTGTGTGTCCCAGGGCACTGGAGTCCATTCAAAACACGGCTCTCATGGCCACATATATGTGAACCAGGGGTTGAAGAAGAGGTGCAATATATTTACCTTTCCAGTGGCCAAATCTGAAACTGCCACTGTTTTTCTGCTCCCTGGCTTTGCATGCATTTGATTAGTTGAATGGGTTTAATATCCATTACCTTGCCACACACTATGGCTCCTGTTGCCAACTTGTGTGTCCTATGATGTACAAGGTGACAGGAGAAACAAAGCTTCTTGGGGCAGCAGGTATTGCACACAATACTTGCATTGTCTGGGGAGCACTGAAGTGGTGGTTACCAGGTATACAACTAAGTATAAGTATATTGCCTCCTTTTTTTTTTTCAGGGATTTTATTGTTCAGAATTGACCCTGTGCTAACAGGGTCACTTTAAGGTGATCAGCAATAGCAACTCATGTTTCACTCAGTTCTCATTTCCATGATAATCTCTGTTCTGGTAAATATTCCAATAATATACTGTAATTTTGTTATATTTGTCCAATAATTGCAAAAATACCTGTTGATCCTTGCCAGAAAATCAGTGCTGCCCTGTGCACTCTACACTGCAATCCCAAATAATGTTTTCAGGGTGTCTATTAGGACTATAGAACACCAATTGGTCAATTGTCCCTCTGTTATGAAAGAGGGAGGTAATCTGCACTCACAACAATTCCTGCCTCAGGGTAACAATGATGCTCCTCCATAGATACAGCACATTGAGCGAGTGTTGTGTCCCTAGTACAGGAAGTGTGTTAGTGGCAGGATCATCAGGTGAAAATAAAAACAAAACGAATTCAGCGACTACATTCTAAAGATGAGCATCCTACCCTAACTACCCTTCTTGGATAGATATTGCAGGCTCAGGTTTGTGCGTTTATGTCCAAGCATACATTGAAAGCATTGGACACATGTAATAATATAAGCAGCATACTGTTCTGAACAATTTGCTGGGCTGCTGTTAGTTCAGTTTTAGTTTAGTTGACTGACTGTACAGATATGCCTGCCTAGGTCTGTGACTCAAACTTTAGGCTTCATTTAGACGTGCAGTTTGAGGATGGCATAAATGTATGGTTGAGCCACTTTTTTGTGGCCCACTAACCCACCCCCTTTGTTTAGCTGCAATAGGCAGTGGATGGGGTTATTTACATGGCACAATTGTGATGGTTTGTGCTCACGGCAAAGCTTACTTGACGCTCAAGCAATTGGGGAACTGCCGCAAATGCCACGCAACTGCATGCAATGCACGCGGTTGTGCCACGCTCGTTGGCAAAAATGGGATTAAAACAGACAGTGAGCAGGTGTCACATTGCTTCTTCGCCACCTATCAGCCTCTGATGCACGATCTGAACGTGGATCGGGCTTCAGAGGAAAGGGATAATTAGACACAGGTTTAAAGTGTTACTAAACCCACAACAGTAAAATCAGTCTGCATATGCAGTAAAGTATGCTTGTTATACTCACTGTGGAACCAAAGGGGTTAATCCTCTGCATTGTGTAAAAAGGCTGTTTGATCCTGTCTTCTCTAATCCTCTCCTTCCACTGTCCCCAATCCATCTGTTGATAGAACAGAGGCTTGGGGGCAAGCTGCACATGCTCAGTTTGGTGTTGCTAGAAAGTTTTTTTTTTTTTTTTTTTCCTTGGGAGGGTGCATGTGATCAGCACAGGGCCAATCGGAGGTCAGGGGTCATGCAGCCTCATAGGACAATCTGGGGAGAATGAAAATTCCTCCTACAAGCTTTAACCAGTGCTCTGCTGGACATGGATAGAAGTTACAAGACTGCTCTAACTTCTCATGACATTTAGCAGTTTATATTTACTAAAACAGCGGTTCTCAACCTGGGGGTCGCGACCCCTTTGGGGGTCGAACGACCATTTCCCAGGGGTCGCCTAAGACCATCGGAAAACACATATTTCCGATGGTCTTAGGAACCGAGACACGCTGCTGTCTCCGGCGATGTGTGGGCGGGATGATACGCTGCTCCTGTCACCTGGCCACACCTCCGGGATCGCTCAGCAGCTCCGCCCTCCTCGCCGCTGATTGGCCACCGGAACTGTAGCTCAGGAGAGGCACACAGGCGGCCAATCACCGGCGAGGAGGTGGAGCTTGGAGAGGAGGAGCCGAGCGGCAGCGCGCGTACATCAAAGAAGACCGAGGGAGCTGCCGGAGCGATTGAAGAGGAGAGCGGCCAGAGAAGGAAGACAGCTGACAGGTAAGTGAGAGAGCGAGCCCAGGCTGGAGCAGGGGTCAGCAAAGTAAGTATCATTGGTGTCAGTGGGAGGAATAGTGCCCCATCATTTGTGTCACTAATACCAACGATGGGGCACTATTCCTCCCCCCACTGACACCAATGATGGGGCACTATTCCTCCCCCCACTGACACCAACGATGGGGCACTATTCCTCCCCCCACTGACACCAACGATGGGGCACTATTCCTCCCCCCACTGACACCAACGATGGGGCACTATTCCTCCCCCCCACTGACACCAACGATGGGGCACTATTCCTCCCCCCACTGACACCAACGATGGGGCACTATTCCTCCCCCCACTGACACCAACGATGGGGGGCACTATTCCTCCCCCCACTGACACCAACGATGGGGCACTATTCCTCCCCCCACTGACACCAAACGATGGGGCACTATTCCTCCCCCCACTGACACCAACGATGGGGCACTATTCCTCCCCCCACTGACACCAACGATGGGGCACTATTCCTCCCCCCACTGACACCAACGATGGGGCACTATTCCTCCCCCCACTGACACCAACGATGGGGCACTATTCCTCCCCCCACTGACACCAACGATGGGGCACTATTCCTCCCCCCACTGACACCAACGATGGGGGCACTATTCCTCCCCCCACTGACACCAACGATGGGGCACTATTCCTCCCCCCACTGACACCAACGATGGGGCACTATTCCTCCCCCCACTGACACCAACGATGGGGCACTATTCCTCCCCCCACTGACACCAACGATGGGGCACTATTCCTCCCCCCACTGACACCAACGATGAGGGGCACTATTCCTCCCCCCCACTGACACCAACGATGGGGCACTATTCCTCCCCCCACTGACACCAACGATGGGGCACTATTCCTCCCCCCACTGACACCAACGATGGGGCACTATTCCTCCCCCCACTGACACCAACGATGGGCACTATTCCTCCCCCCACTGACACCAACGATGGGGCACTATTCCTCCCCCCACTGACACCAGCGATGGGGCACTATTCCTCCCCCCACTGACACACCAGCGATGGGGCACTATTCCTC